GCTTGACTGAGAGCTATGAACTGTACGTGTGCCTGGGCATTCTGTACTGGAGAGTGGTCGGCACCAGGCAGGCTTTCCAGATGCTAATCACAGGGGTAGAAAGCAAGGGAGTAACAGAGGTTAACGGCACCCAATGCATTTATTAACCCTTTAGTGCCAGGCCCTGGGGAGGTCTGGCCACAGTTACAGTGCCATGGAAATTCTATTATGTGACATTCCTGGACTTGGGGATTACTGCCAGTGACAGTTTCATGAGAGAGCTGCAGGGACAAGGCTTATGAAAAGCCTAAAGAACAAGTTCCCTGGTTTTCCAGAATGACAGCAAAGCTACTGGTTTGTGGATGGTTTCTCCAGTATCCTCTTCACCTTCTCAAGATGAAAACCTTGTGGTACTGTGTTTTGGTGGTGGTGTTTCCCCCAACTCCGAGTCAGGCAGCTTCTCCTATAACCGCATAACTATGAGTTAGCTGTTATGAAACCCACTTTCATAAAAGGGGTTAAATAATTCGTTTTTCAACGTGCTGTAACAATGGTTAAAATGGACTTTTAGAAAAATTGAAATCCATTCTCTTCTCTTCTTCTTTATCCCTCTCTCCTTTTTATGAGATACGATACTTTAAAGCCACAAACTGTAAGGTTTGGTGCCTAGATAGGTCTGGGCTGGCCAGGCTCTATGTTGGGCCCCTGCCTATCCTCTTAATGAGCAGGGCTGTAGAGCTGGCAGACCGGACTTGTTCCATTATTACACCCCTGGTTTTCCCCGTTTCGGGCTCGGCAATGGTGCTCTTCCAGCTTCTAACTTGCCTTATACCTTTGCAAGATCTCAGAAGTTTTGGTTTTCTTTTTGTTTCTTTAATTTTCCTGGGACAGTCCCAATTTTCATCAACGGAGGCAAGGTTTAAAATATGTAAATACTCTTTGCAATAGTTGAAGGTGAGAGATGCCCTATAATTTTATCTTCTTGCGTTTATCAGGCCTGACTAGCAAGACAGTGATAGCTTGATGTTTTAAAAAAATGCTCAGGATAAAAGCCTTTAAAATGTGGAAACAGCAGGTTGTCCAGGCTTCAACAAGGGGCTTTAAGAGCCAGATTTTCCTAAGTGGACTTTGGATCTGCACAGGTAGATTTCTGACTCTCGGTGGTCACCCGAGGGGTTCAGGCTGAATACAGGACTTATAAGCATGCTGCCAGCTAGACATACGTAGGTCTGAATCCCCAGGCTCTGCCCCTCCATCTGCAGCTTACGAACCCTTAGAGTCACTGGACACCCAGTTGATGCCACTCAGTCCAAGCAGCAGACCCACTGGCCCTCATTTTGTAATATTATACCCCAGGTTTGGTGTAGGATTTTAAAAGATCTCATGTCTATGTGCAACCCTTCGATTCTTTTACCCAGGTGCTGCCTGCTATTCCAACAACCACTAACATCTGTTCTTTGCCTTCTAATCACACTCACAGGTGTTAGTGTGGTTCATGCAAAGTTCTGGCGGAACTGGGGGGCCACTCTTCTTTGCCTCTGCAGTTCTGGGGGGTGTCCCGGCCCCCCAGACCTCTCAATGGGAAGCAGTGTTAATACGCTATGTAGGCAGAGGCTTTCGAGGCCAGTGTGCGTGGACCGCTAAGCCTCTGGAGTGCTAGGTGCTTCTGCTGGGTTAGGAAAAGGGTTGACAGGAGAGAAGGCATTTTCTCAGAGCCTTTGCAGAGGCCTGGTGGTGCACGGTTACATTCACTCAGCGGTTCGTCCTGTTCTGCCCACCAGAATGGTTCTCAAGGCCAGATGAGCTTGGAGCTGCTGCCTCCACCTTAAGTAAAGCCAGTGGAGATACAGGGAGACAAAGCCAGAGGTTGATTATTTGTGTTAGATACAGGCCAACAAGATGCCTGCTTTGGGGGAAGAAGATCCCAGAGCCTTCACAGACCTGGAGCTGGTCTCAGTGTATTTTCTTATGTGATCAAACAGTCATCCCAGCCATCCCCAGATGGGAGGCAAGAGCACGTCTGCCCGGTTGTGTGACTCTAATCCTGTACAAAGTCGAACTCTCAGTGACCACTGAGGACCAGAATCTACCTATGTTGATGTAGAGTCCCCTTAAGAAAATTGCTTAAGATAGAGACCTTTTCTAGTCCATTGGTGGAAGCCCCCTTTACAATCATGTAATAGATGGGCATTTTACTAGTACATTAACAGGTCCCTGAAGTGACTAAGTGTAGCTAGTGAGTCTCTCAGATGGTATAGATGATGAGTGATACACTGCATGCTGGTGCTAATCATATAGAACAAAGTAGGAGGAGGCCTACCAGCCCTTGGATCTCTTAGAGGGCACTGCAGTCTAGGACACTGAGGTGGAGCTTAGCTGTGACCACAGCACAGAACAGAAACAACTTGAAGAAATAATGTGGCCCAGACTAGAAGTCAGGCTGCCTTCTCTGCACGTTTTAGTGAACTTCTTAGTTAGGCAACAGCCCTTAATGAGGGTTGTCTTTTGTAGATTACCGCCTAGAAAAGACAGAATGTGATGTTTTAGGGCCATTTTGGTGTCTGGCACAATTCCAACCTTGAACAGAAATAAAACGTGCAAAGTTCTACACATTATTCTCTACAGGTTACAATGCAATGGACCAGATTTGCTATTAATATAGATTAAAAGTAGGCTTTTGAGTAAGGCTCAATTCCTCTTCTGATTTGCCCTCTGATCTTCTTATACATAATATTTAGTGACCTTTGAACAGCCCAGGGATGCTTCACAGTGTCTTTTTCTTGACACCTGTTTAAAGGTTTCTATTTCACATTCACAGCGGGCATATGCAAATAGAGGTAAAGGTTATGACACCTCCCACGTAGCATTATGGTCAATAAATTACTCCTTGGGTGAACATGCTATCATTTCAGGCTAGCACGTCTTCAACAAGTTGCAACCGTTGTCCTGCAGTAGGCAGCCTGCCAGGGCATTCCCACAGAGCTGGTTGCTCAGATACTCCTAGATTCAGGTGTTTTGCTTAACCAGGGTCATCCTGTCGACAAATGAGTTCTTGGTCTTTCGACGCCAAAGGGCTCCTAGTTTCAGGGGGAGGGGGCTATGGGAGGGATTCTTTGTGTGGATTTTGGGGGCAGGGGGAGCATGAAGACCCAAGCATGCCAGGGTTGCCTGGGAGAAACTGTAAAGCAGGAAAGAGCACAGTTCCATTCAGGAGTTTCAGAGACTTATCTAAATCTTGACTCTAAAGTAGTTCACTGTGTGCCCTTGGGTAAGTCACTTAACTTCTCTGCACTCTAATTTGTTTTCCTTTACAAAACAAGAGAGCTGCACTGGGTTAGCAGTTTTTATTGTAATTGTTTGAGCAATGGAACCTTCCCTCCACCTCAGTTCTCAGGTAGAAACCCAGTGGAAACTTGCTTCATTTGTGAGGAAATAGGGAGCTTAAAGCCCTCACAGCTCAGGAACTTGTAACTGCCCTAAAGCAGTTTTCAATAAAATATGTATTTATTTGTATTGCATAGGTAATGTACATGTATTTTTTTAAAACATCTTTATTGGAGTATAATTGCTTTACAATGGTGTGTTAGTTTCTGCTTTATAACTAAGTGAAACAGTTATACATATATATATGTCCCCATCTCTCTTCCCTCTTGCGTCTCCCTCCCTCCCACCCTCCCTATCCCACCCCTTTAGGTGAACAGTATGGAGGTTCCTTAAAAAACTAAAAATAGAACTACCATATGACCCAGCAATCCCACTACTGGGCATATATCCTGAGAAAACCATAATTCAAAAAGTCATGTACCAAATTGTTCATTGCAGCTCTATTTACAATAGCCAGGACATGGAAGCAACCTAAATGTCCATCAACAGATGAATGGATAAAGAAGATGTGGCACATACATGCAATGGAATATTACTCAGACATAAAAAGAAACGAAATTGAGTTATTTGTAGTGAGGTAGATGGACCTAGAGTCCGTCCTACAGAGTGAAGTAAGTCAGAAAGAGAAAAACAAATACCGTGTGCTAACACATATATATGGATTCTAAAAAAAAAAAAAGGTCATGAAGAACCTAGGGGCAAGACGGAAATAAAGACACAGACCTACTAGAGAATGGACTTGAGGGTACGGGGAGGGGGAAGGGTAAGCTGGGACAAAGCGAGAGAGTGGCATGGACATGTATACGCTACCAAACGTAGAATAGTTAGCCAGTGGGAAGCAGCCCCATAGCACAGGGAGATCAGCTCGGTGCTTTGTGACCACCTAAAGCAGTTTTAAGATGGATGGATCTGGGGTCCGTAATGCCCTTCACTATTCCTGAAGGGGACCTGTCTGAAAGAGTCCCTGCCCTGTGCCTTAGCCCCCAAGCACTGAGTGGTTTTCCCACTAGAGGGCAGCCACATGAGCCCAGGACCACATCTGTTTCTGTCATATTGCCGTATGCCCAGCGCTGGAAAATAGCTTGGTAAGTGTTTGTGGACTGGAACAACTAATAAACAAATGAACAAACACACAAGCTTCAGGAAGACCTATCTTTATATTACTAATAAATGTGGATTTTTATTGCACCATTTTTACCTAGAAGGCAGCTCCTAAACATTAACTTTCAGAACTATAAATGAGTTCAAAATGTAAATGACTTTAAATTTTTTTCTTTTGCAACCTGTGCAGTGACTTTGAAATGAGGTGGGTACAAACTGAGATGTACTATGTCAAACACACCAAATTTGGAAGATTTAGTATGAAAATAAAAGAATGTAAAGTATCTCATTAATCATCTTTTATATTGATTACATGTTGAAATGGTAATATATTGAGTTAAAGAAAATGTGATTAAAATTTTCTTCACCTGTTATCACTTACATGGTTACGAGAAAAATTTAAGTTATATATGGGCTCACAGTTGTGGCTCACATATTTCTGTAATGGCACGGTCCTAGACAGTTAATCATCAGTAATTACTCTTCCATAGTATGTATGAGTGATTTTGTGTGTGTGCGTTTTTGTCTCTTTCCAGGCACAGAAGCTGAAATCCAATATGTCGGGAAGTCCACACCTCTGTCTTTCTGATGTAAGTTGTTTCTTTCTGAGTCTCCCTGCATTTATAGAAACAGAGCCTTTGGGACCCTGGAACAGGATATGATGTGAAGGGCTCAAAGACAACAAGGTTTCAGGTCCAGAAAAAATCTAAGTCACCCTCAATGTCCCTCTGCCGTTTGAGCCAGGTGCAGTCTTCAGATCCTAGTGCCCAAAGTGAGAACCAAGTGTGGACCCCAGGATCCTCATCTCAGAACTGGACCAGTACAAATACCATTGTCCCAGTACCATGATAATCTCTGTGGTCACAGTCACATAAATTCATCTGGCACAGAGAAGATACATAACAACTCTCGCTCCTTACCAGATGTCCTTTGACCTCCACAGCAACCCAGAAGTAGCCAAGGCGGGCCGCATTACACTCCCCAATCTACAAGTGAGAGGGTGGTTGATTCTGTCACAATCATAGCTCATTGTGGCGGGATGTGGCATTATGGGATTGAGCAGGTGCTAGGGATGGGGATGAAGGAATCAATCCTGGGGAAGGACAGCTGTGCTGACTGGAAATTTGGGAGCCTGGGCTTTGGTCGGGACTCTCTGAAAAGCAGGGCAAGATCCTTCATCTATGAAGTCCATGGTTGAACCAGCCAATGGAGGGAAAGGCTACTGCCTTCTCTGCCAGTCTCCAATGCGATTTGTGACCCATCTCTGCATGAACTCATACTTGCTTGGGCAAGTTTCCCAAGATGATTCTTCCTGCCCTCCTTCATGATGGAGAGAGACAGCAAGCATCCCTCCTCGGTCACTGGTACCCAGAAGGAGAATGGTTCCATGTTTCACAGTTGCTGGGGGACCTTGGGAGTGGGGGTAAAATCCCCGGTCAGCTTTGGTGAGCAGTGAGAGAGAAAGAGTGCGGTTAAAATATGCCTTGATAGAACGAACACATGCAGTGGGTAATAATGAAAACATTCTTTCTTACAGCGTGATTACGAAAAGGATGGTCTTGCTGGGGCTTCCAGCCACATAACCACAAAATCAATGGCTGCCTCTCCAAGCTGCAGTCTGAGCCCACTGCTGGTCCTGGTGGTAACTGCCCTGTCCACCCTATTATCTTTATCTTTGGCTGACACATCGTAGCTGCATTTAAATACAATATGGACATGTAAAAAGACAAAAACCAAGTTATCTGTTTCCTGTCCTCTTGTATATCTGAAATTCCAGTTTTAGGAACTCAGTTGAGACACTGCTAAAACAGTTTCATCCAACTGGAACTTTTTTCTTTCTTTTTTCTTTTTTTTTTCTAAGAAAGCTTCTTGTGATCCTTAGGGCTCATATGGGATCCCCGATACAGTGCTACATTCCAAACTCAGAAGGCTTTGGGGCATGCTGTATTGTAAGGGGACAGTTTGTTGATTTGGCTGTAAAGCATACTGGGGCCATGTTTTTCAAGAGGACGATGAGGATGGTGATTTTAACAATTTAACTCTGGCCTTCACTAGCTAGAGAAGGAGTTAGTATTTCTAAAGAATCTTCCATATCTCATGTAATAGGTTTTATTTCTGATGACATGACTGCAGCGGTACATGGATGCCAGGTTTTTTTTGGTCACAAAGTGAAGATCCTCATCAAGACAATCTTGATGGACTTTGTGCAAACAGGCTTGTACCAATGTTCACTTTTCTATATGTACTAGTATTTTCCGTGCTAAGTTTATGTACTCTAAACAGTTCTGCACTCTCCTACAAAAACAAAAAATACCTGTCACATCCCAGTGTAGTATCTGTCTTCTAGTCAAAATAGAGAGTGAGAGTGGGCATGAGACTTCACAGAACCTTGACCACTGAGACATTTTCCTAAGCCTTACCTGAGTGAGAAGCCCTTAAACTAACAAGAGTCAAATATAGCTGAGGCATCATTCCGATACTCTTTACACGTATGAGGTTATATGTAGAAAAAAATTTTTACTACTAAATGATTTCAACTACTGGCTTTCTATATTTTGAAAATAATGACATTGTCTTCATTTTTTTTACTGGTGGTTTAATACAAAATACACGGAGCTTGTTTTCCTCTCATAAGTAGTGTTAACTCCGATGTTCACGAAGACAGCTCTTCAAAAGCGGGCTCTGCATCACGTTATTGTGGACAGGCAGGAGGACACAGAGCAGCCAAGCATTGTCTTTTATCATTTCTTGAAACGCAAGCGTGCATACCTGTGAGGAAACCAGCAGCCACTCGTAAATGTTCTACAATGTCCAATGGCACCCTTGCCAGTTGACACAGACCAGTACCTGGGTGTTCATGTTACTTGACTGGGACGGGGGTTGGGACTTGCTGCCCTTTCTTCTGAAGCAGATCCATGCCAGGGTACACAGTTCTTTTCCTAAGGATTGTCTTGACTCCTATCTGTCATGGCTTGGCTGCTGTGTAGAGCAGTTTGGTCTGAAGGTCATGGGGAGTCTGCTTGCACCGTGTTCTGTGTCCTCCATGACAGACTGTGACTGACTCTGCAGAAAAGAAAAAAGGTTTGTGGATCCAGAGGGTCACGAATAAGGTCTGTGGAGCTGAGTTGATTGGCACAGAGACACAGAACAAAACAGGACTCTGGATATAAGGCATTTGGCTTGTTACTGCACGTCCTCTTCTATCGTTCTTTTCCTTAAACGAATAGACTCAAAAGTGCACTTTTGAAGTCTGGTTGAAATGCTGAGATTCGAAATCTACAAGGATCGAGTGCTAGTAGCCATGTTTCTTTGAAACTGAATAGAGGCGAGGAGATTCCACCCAATAGAGTATTGGAAGCGTTCGCTTTCTTAGCATATCAGTAGAGGGGTGGAGGGGGGGAGACCCACAGTGCACATTTCATCCTGATTCCCTTTGCCCACGGATGTTTGCCTTGTAAGAATTAATCAAATTACTAGGGTGGGAAATCTGTTAAACCCAAGATGAAGGCATAGCCTTCTAGCTCTATTGGGGTTTGAAGTACATTTATATCCAAATGTTCATAAACATAAATGTATATATACTAAGTACCAAGTTTTTTCACTTCAAAATGTTTTCAAGGGGAACTCATCAAACAAATTCAATTAGTGAAAGGTTTCCTAAAGACTCTTCCTTTGAATAAACACATTAAACATGTCGAAATACTTGGAATTCCAGTCATCTGTGAAAGCATATCTCTTACAGAGCATATTTTGTTTTAATTAAGGTATCTCTGTGTATCTACATTGGACTAATTGCACAGAGGTCTGATTCTATGTAATCTACTGTAGAAAGCTATTGATTACTTCTGTAATAAACAGCAGCTCTAATTAGCTTCAGATGACCAAAGAGGAAATAGGAGCTATCAGAGCTAACAAGAGTGGCTTTCAGTGAAGAACCGTGGATGTGCAGCACATAAATTAAATTTTGAAAAGCCTCATCTTTTCACCAACACAGATCTCATTTTTCTTCAGAGATAGAAGCATATGAGAGTTACCAAATCGTCAATTTGAAAATAAATTACTGCTTAAGTAAACAGAGGGAAGGATGTTCCATGACAACTTCTTAGAGAGATTCTTATAAAATCATGCCAAGCAAGTGTTTCTGCCATTCGGGGTGATCTCAGTTTAACAGGGTGCCCCCCCCCCACCAGAAACACCATCATTTGTCCCAGTACTGGAGCAGGCAAAACCTTCTACCTATCCAGCTTCCTCTGGCAGTGCTAAAAGCAAAAAATGGTTCACTGCTTCCCGTCCTGCAGGCCCTGCATGGAAGGTGCCACCAAAATACAAGGGCTGTCTGCTGAGGTTTGGGCCTGTTGGAGAAGGCATCTCATTGTAGTTGATTTTGGCAAACAAAAACAGTAACTTAACATCCATGGAGACCGTGGCTCCCAAATCAAGTCTAGCTATGCTCTACTCATTTCAGAGAAAAAAAGGCAAGATTGCCAAACCGATTAGAAGCACATTTTCAGTCCCCTTGATGTTGAATATATTTGACCGAGAGGTGTTTGAGTATCTTTTTAAATAGAGCACATGAAGGAAGAGGGGCACAGTAAAGAGAGGGAATTCAGAACATGCCACCTGAATATATTTTTCCGTATCTGGTTTTTTTCAAGCCTCTAGTAAAAAAAAGTGTAAGTTGAGAATGACATAGATTATTTTTCATTAAGTATAGCAAACTGTATGCAAAGTGTGAAAGGAGTGTGGTTTTCCATTAAAAAAAATTTTTTTTAAACGATTCTTTATTCTGTAGTAAAAAATGTTTTAGAAGCTACTTTTTCAAGGAAAACAAATACAGGACAGGGCTCCTCCAGAGCTGCTGTGGCCTTTGATCTAGTCTATATTAAGATTGTTTCTATCTTGCACATGCTCCGAGGATGGGTTGTCTCCAGCTGCATCCCCATTTCCCACCTGCCTCTTTGTACTCTGAATCAGACACTCCCAAACACTCCATCTGCTGAGCTAGGAAAGTGGGAGAGAGGAAGCATTTCTAAATCAGTGTTAAGTGCTTGGGAAAAGACATGTAAGAGCAGTGAGAGTTTATATAATTAGCAAATTCTGTTCTTAGAATCCAATCCAATACAAAAATGTATTTCTGTTGTTATTATTTACAAAACAGTGGCCTCGGAGGAGCTGTCTTTTGGAAAATAAGTTTTCATTCATGTAGTCAGGCATACACGACTTATTTGAGTCAATAAACTGTGGGCCAGAAAATGACCTGCTTAAATGAATGCACATTTTCTCATTCTCTTTCAAGCTGTTCTTGAGCTCTTAGATTCATACCCCCGCGATCTTTGTTGCTTCTGCTCTTTGATAAAACAGATGAGACCATGTCAGACCCATCGTTTCAAGAAAGACCAAAAAGCAGTGACAACACACAAGAGTCAGTTACCAATGGCCTGAACATGATGTTGGCCAAAGTGCCTGTCTGCACTGAGTTCGGGGAGTTTGAAGAGATGAAGCAAAATCAGGGTACCACAAGAGACCACGTGCCATTGGTGAATGGAGCATGCAGTCTGATCCGGACAGAAAACTTGTCCCAACAAGACATCCAGCGTTCCCTGAATTAGACACCAGTGCCTTTGTAGGAAGCATGCCAGAGCTAATATCTGGAGGGTAAAGGAAGGAGTTTCTTTTTAGAAATTCTAAAACAGCAAAGCAGCTGGGAATTTGGTTAGATATCCTTACAAGCTATGTTTTTCTCTCATCCCTGAGATAAGCATCTCGTGTGTAGGTCTGATACCTCTTGACTTTGACACAGCTTTTGTTCTCAAGTGACCATTTATTTGAACTCTGTTGTCTAGAATTCTTCAAGACGACTGTACCTCTGAAATATATTCTCATTGCAGAGGCCTTAAATCTGTGGGTTTTGCCACTGCTTCCATCCTGGGATGTATTCAGTGGGACATTTCGTTTCCCAAGGGTCGTTATCTTAAGACATTGGCGGATTCCCTTCTCTCGCATATCGATTATTGATAACCCCAGTCCCCACCCTTGTTTCTTATTGCCCAAGTATTTAACAGAGTCCCTTCCCATCAATTCTTCGTCGTAATCATTCTAAATTTAGTCCTACCCAAATTAATTCTTGTTCTGTCAGAGACCCATCCTGCACGTAACCCTGGCTTTTTGAAGACAGAGAAGTCTCTGAGGAGCCAGGCGATCTGAAGATGCTGCTAATCCCGGAGTAGAAAGTTCATCCATCCAGCCCTCCCCTGAGCTCCCCCTTCTTAGCTCTGGGATTGTCTTGTCTCCTGCATCCTCGCCGAGCATCCCTTTGTAGTTCCCAGAGCCCTCTGACTGGCTTCTCTTCCCTCCCGGAGACAGCCTGGGTCTCTCAGCGGGATGCACACCACCTGCACTTCTGATTGTTCTGAGACCCAGCCCAGAGGGGTGGGGAAGGCACGCCAGCCCTGTTTCAATAAACTGCCTGCAGAGAACCGCAGCCTGTAACAGTCATCGAGCTCCCAGCCCCCTGAGGTCTCCAGGCTCATTTGACCAGCGCAGCTGCGACTTCGGCGGTCTGCCTCTGGCAGGTGCCCATGGCAGCATCTTGTTCCACTGCCACGAGGAATTTATTTTTGCTCAAGGGCAGCTGCCAAACCCAGCACCAGCATCAATAGAAGGTTTTCTCTGATTTTCTTCTCTTCGTCGCAGGTCCGGCTGTCTTACCAATCCCCACTTTTCGTTTTGCAGGACGTGCCGAAAGACTGGCCGGAGACCATCAGTCCCTTTCTTCTTTTGAACCTCTCTTCCCACTCACCCTAACAGCTTCCCTAGCAGAAAGCATGACCCATAGTAGGAAATTAAACACTTCTGGGTGAATGAAAAACTTTAGGACATTGAAGGGTTTCATTCTGAAATACAGTAGCAAGGACTGGCTCATTTGCATCATCTTACAGCACTGAGCTGTTATGCATTGATGCTGAAGGTGTCCTCCTGAGGTTATTGAGGGTGACCTGGGAGAAAGGGTGAAAAGAAGTGTTAGGATCAAAGGGGCTTTGTCTGATGCATTCCCTGCCGAGATATGGAAAACTAGCATTTGTCCCCAGAAGAGCTGAGCATGACCAGCCGGTCCCAGCAGGCTCACGGCATCCACCGGAAAGGACAGGACCCCAAAACTTTGTGGGAAATTAGCCAGTGAGTCTGCTGATGTTTTAATCTGCCTCAGGTGCAGGATGCTGGCAAGAAAGATGGACCACCCTGGCAGTCCTGACCAACCCCAGGGATGCAGCCTCCGCTAGCATCCTGAGAAGTGAACTCAGGTGCTTAACAATTC